ACATACCTCGGTTGCAGTTTGTCCCCCGCCCTGGTTGGTTGTGCGGGTGGCAACCACTCGATGTGTCGCTTTCACGTCAATGTTTCTTTCTCTGTTTCTCTCTCGCTCCCACTCTACCTGAACAAAAAATGGAAAAATGTCCTCAGGTGAGGATAACAAAAGAGGGAGGGAGAGAGAGAGAGAGAGAGAGAGAGAGAGAGAGAGAGAGAGAGAATGAGAATAATGGTTTGGTGGTAATGAACTTCTTTAACTTTTTTTTGTCTGGGAAAGTCTTTATATGGCCATCGATTCTAAATGACAGCTTTGCAGGATAGAGTAATCTTGGTGGTAGGTTCTTGCTTTTCATCACTCTGAATATTTCCTGCCACTCCCTTCTGGCCTGCAGTTTCTTTTGAGAAATCAGCTGACAGTCTTATGGGAACTCCCTTGTAGGTAACTGACTGCTTTTCTCTTGCTGCTTTTAAGGTTCTCTCTTTGTCTTGAACCTTTTGCATTTTGATGATGATGTGTCTTGGTGTGGGCCTCTTGGGGTTCATCTTGTTTGGGACTCTCTGTGCTTCCTGGACTTGTATCTCTATTTCCTTCACCAAGTTAGAGAAATTTTCTGCCATTATTGTTTCAACTAGGTTTTCAATTTCTCGTTCTCTCTCTTCTCCTTCTGGCACCCCCAAGATGCGAATGTTGGCACGCTTGAAGTTGTCCCAGAGGTTCCTTACACTATCCTCATTTTTTTGGATTCTTTTTTCTTTTTGCTGTTCTGATTGGGCGTTTTTTGCTTCTTTATATTCCAAATCGATGGTTTGCTTCTTGGCTTTACCTACTCTACTATTGAATCTGTGTAAATTATTCTTTATTTCAGTTAGTGCCTCCTTCATTTCTGACTGGTCCTTTTTATGCTCTTGAGGCCCTCACTAAGTTCACTGAGGTTCTCACTAAGTTCACTGAGCGTCCTTATAAGCAGTATTTTGAACTCAGCATCTGTTAGGTTGCTTACCTCCATTTCTCTCAGTTCTTTTCCTGGAGATTTTTTCTGTTCTTTGATTTGGGACCTGTTTCTTTGTCTCCTCATTTTGGCTGCCTCCCTGTGTTTGTTTCTATGTATTACTTAACGAGAGGTATGGGGCTCACTGAGACCAGATGCTGCTTGCTTGAAAGGATTTATGAAAACCTGAAGCAGGATCCAAGACAGGCCAATCCTATGGTGAAGTAACTGGCAATAGCTTGGGTGGGCCTGAAAGCTGGGTGGGGCGGGGCCTCAGGGAATCACCAGGGTGGGGCAAGCAGTATGAGCCAGGTTGCTGGAGTCCCAGATATGGCAGCTGTCTGCACCCCCCCAGGGAAGGGCTCACCAAAGGAACAAAGGCCTCTGACTGCACGTCTGTTCCGGAGAAAGCCCCCTCTCCAGTGCCAAACAGCTCAGTTCTTCCCTGTACGTTTCGGGCGCCCCTCGAGCTGCCTCCCCTCCAAGCTTAGAGGGAGTGAGTCCGATAAGTCCGTGCCTGGGCCCTTTAAGAGGAGCTGTCTGGGGCTCCAGCCACCTTAGCCTCCCTAAGCCTCAGTTCCCGCTGGTTTCTCCTGCTGGAAGTTATGGGGACTTCTCTTCCTGGAACTGGAACCCTGAGCGGGGCACCTGGTGTGGGACGGAGACCCCTCGGTCCTCAGGGAGGACCTTCCCAGCCAAGGTGTCCCTCCTGATTTGTATCCGCCACACGTAGGTGTGGGACCAGCCTATCCACCTCCACCCCTCCTACCAGTCTTAATGTGGCTACTGCTTTAATTCTGTAGGTGTAGGACTTCCATTCAGCTCGATTTCAGGTGGTTTTGAATGATGGTTGTTCTGTAGTTTAGTTGTAACTTTGATGTGGTTGTGGGAGGACGGATACTGTGTTTACCTACGCCGCCATCTTGACCGGAAGTCCCATTCTAAGTGTTTTAAAATGGCAAGATACAGTACGCCTATTTTGCAAATAGCTAATTCATTTAATAACTTACCTTTAACCCAACATAACCACTTTTAGAATACATTTAATCCCCTTGCTGATATGAATGCTACTTCAAATACAATTTAGAGGAAAGACAAGAAGTAGCTGTTATAGTTACTTAAGTACAGGACTAAGAATATCTCAAAAAGCCCAAGACACTTATGAAGTTTTATTGAAAACAATAAAATACAGAAACACCAGATTCTCATTTTAAAGTAAAATTGACAGCATTTTCCAGAACTTTCCTAGTACTGTACCATTCTTATCACTATTAAAAAAACAAAACCAAGCTCCAAATCCAAAATAATTAATGAACTTGCTGGTAAACATTCTTTTCAGGGTTTTAGTTGTCTTCCTAAATTTTACATTTGCACTTTCTCAAGAATGAGGTTTTTCTTATTTGACTGATTAATATTTGTGAGAACTGGACTTACTTTCTTCGTATTAAAAAACCCACACACACCCTACTCAAACTCAGAGAAAATATACATTTGTTCATTAAAGCTCACCTGCTTTAGTTTTTTCTCTTCACACATTAGCATAGGAAGCCAATGTTTGATCCATGCTGCAAAAGCTGAACAAAATGAGAAGACTTGTTATTCCCCTAGGGAAACCTTAAGGCAAAAGCAAAAGTCTTATGCTATAAAAGAAAAACAAAGCTGAAGCATGGAGACTGTGGGGACGGCTCAGATGAATAAGCACCACAAGGATGAAGACAATTTTTGTACAAACATATGCAAGAAGTTTAAAAAGGAGCAATAAACATCCATTTTCCTGCAGAAATAATTGTCATGTTAGATAGCTTGACTCCTGAAACAAGTGCTTGTTTAGATTTTAATGTTATCTTAATTCTCTCTTATATTTACCAATGGCATCAGAGCCTTCTTTGAGGGCTCTTCTTTCCTCCTTTTCATCACAGACCTTTGATCAGAGGCCTGCTCAACAATTCCTATAGAAGACAATCAGTGTGTCTGGGTGCTTCTTGGAAAAGCTGTCACCTCCCCCTTCCACCCTAACACTGGGACTAATTCCAAATTCTGGGCAGTCACTTAGTTTTTGGGTTGTACTAGAACAAGTTTTTTAGCATGGAGATTTCTTTAAGGCTACAAACTTTGCAAGTTGGTCCCATTAAACAATGACCTAAAGGCAGGAGTTTTTCAAATGGCATGAATCAAACACTTGCAGATTTCAACAGAATACAGTTTACATTCATCTCTAAATCTGAGATTAAGAAACTATTAGCTGGTTTCCAACTGGTTTAAATACTGGTTTGAAGTTTGAATAATTTTTACTGTGTAGACATTAAATATTTTGTTTAAATATTAAACATTAAATATTTTCCTGACTATCCAGACAGAAATAGAGAAAGCAGGAACAAAAGGCAAGAGAAGAAACAGTCCAATAAACAGACTTGTGACTTCTACACCATCTGTAACAGGGGAGGGATTTCAGCATGTGTTTCAAAAATGCCTGGGAGCTAGATTCTAAAAAGTTACTTGTATACGTGGCATAAATCATTTTTCTCTATGCAAAGTATCTAATTCCTACAAAGGGAGAAACCCAGAAAACAAAAAAAACTGGGGTGGTCTCCTGTTGTGTGAGGAAAGGGCCAGTATTACAATCATTTAATAAGTTACAGTGAATATTCTGTAGTACTAAAGGAATTGTCATTTCACTTTGCACTACTGAGTCCTTGCCACACAGAAGAGTTCTTCCTGAGAAATAAAAAACTTCAATCCTGGTTATCCTCAAAGGACACCTTGAGCTGGTTTATATTCAAAAGATGAAGACTTCTTGCTAACTACTAATTTTTAGGCTACTGCACAATAGTTGAAGCACCAGGCAAATTGGCTATTTCATTAAATCTCAACATCGCTTGCCCATATGTTCTCAGTTAATTATTCAGTTATTGTTTTCTAAATTAACATTTAAAACTCAACTTTCTAATACAGGTACAATCTTTTTTTAACTACTGAAGTTATCCAATGCTGGACTTAGCTGACACAGCACTTCCTCAGAATTACCTAAGAGATGCTTCTCCCGTAGCCAATTTGCACATGGGTTTCCTCAAAATCTTTCAAATTGTCTCTCAAAGTTAATTAATGAATAGCTCAGCTTATCAATTATGCAAGGGAATCCAAGGAGCTACAGTAGCACAAAGCAAAAAAAGCCTTCAAGGAAAAACCTATTCTTTGTATTTTCATAGGCAAAGCGGTGAGCCACAATGCTACTGGCTATTTAATCAATTTAGCTACATTGAATTAACTAATGTACAAGTTTCAGAGCCTCTATTAAATTTCTTAGCAATAGGCTTAAGCTACTGCTTTCTTCTCCTCTTCTCCCCAATCATAAATAATTACCACTGTAAACAAAGTTCTTATCTACAGATGAAGTTGTGATTCAACTGTCAGGGTATAGTTGTAGTAGCAGTACCTTTCTTTCTTTCTTTCTCTTTCTTTTCTCTCTCTCTCTCTTTCTTCCTTTCTTGCAGTTATCTTCAGGTAGAGCAGGAGGGATGGGAGAGAGAGAGAGGGAGAGAGAGAAAGAGAGAGAGAGAGAGAAAGAAACAGACACACCGACTGGTTGCCACTCACAGGACCCCAACCAGGGGGCCGGGGACAAACCGCAACCGAGGTACATGCCCTTAGCGGAAACTGAACCTGGGACTCTCTGGTGCTGCAGGCTTATGCTCTAACCGCTGAGCCAAACTGGTCAAGGCAGTACCCTTCTTTCTTAATGCATCTCTTTCCACTCAAGTGTCTGAGTAGTCTCCAAGTATTTGAATGGTTTACCAGGGGTGGGGACCATCCGGTCCGTGGGCTGTATAAGGCCTGCAAAATCAATACCAGCTAACATCACACCCTCATCAAATTAGTCTAACCAAATAGAGCAGTCTAACTTCTTTTTTTTGTTGTTAATCCTCAAGTGAGGATATTTTTCCACTGATTTTTTTAGATAGGGGGGCAGGGGGATGGAGAGTGAGAAAAAGAGAGAGAGAGAGAAAGAAACATGGATGAGAGAGAGACACATAGACTGGTTGCCTCCCGCAGGACCCTGACCCCTTGACCGGAATCGAACCCTTGACTGGAATCAAACCCTCAACCCTTTGGGTTGCCGCTCCAACTGCTAACCCAAACTGCCCAGGACTAGAGCAGGCTAATTTTTAAGGTGATAATTTTGTATTATCATGGCCGGCGAATGATGTTATAAATATCCAAATGGCCCTTGGCAGAAAAAAGGTTCCCCACCCTTGGTTTAAGTCACCCTTACATATATAGTTTCTATACGTCCCTGTGCGGACTGTAATCTCACAGTAACAATCCCTCTAGAAAACAGCCTTTCCTTTGAGACAAGCCTCCTTGGCAAAAAGTTGAATTTAAGAAATGGCTACCCAAAATGAGAGTACCAGCCCAAATCACAGGCAGAGATATTCTTACACCCGTTTCATAAAACTTTTAAGTCCCTATTCTACATAAGAAGGTTCATGATTGAACACGAGCCTTATAAAATTTGACAACTTTAGTATAGAAACAGGTTTCTAGAGTTCCATCTCTTCTTCTGTGCAAGCAGCTGTCTCTAAACTATTGTAAATAGTCATCCCTGTTTGCCGAGGTTCCAAGAACAGTTCAGTTCTCCTAGGGAAGGCAGTGCCAGCAGCGTCATGCTTAGTTTGGCTCTCGTCTGTGTAGTTCTTAGCATTAGATGACGGCTTTGGCTTATCAGAAAGGAGTTCAGGGAGAGGTTTCCAGAGCACAAGCTCCATGGAAGGACGGCTCCTAAGACATAAAATAGAGATTTTTATAAAACATTTTAGGATGTGCAAATAAAAGATATGTATTGAAAAGCTAATGTCTGCTATCTAATATGTAGAGTTAAGTAAGCATTGATAGCATCAAAATAAGAGATCAGAATAATCCAAAATAACCTTTAGAAAGCATACTCAAATATATAAAAGTTTACATCTGCATGCATTTTTAACCAATACAACTGGTTGAACTGATGCTGTAATTAGAATATAAATATCTAATGTGAAAAACAGAGGCCCCTGATTTAACATTATAACTTTTTTGAATAGTATGGTTAATATTAGCAGATATTACTAAACCATTAAAAATAAAAATGAAACATTGGACAAACACATTTAAAATATGTCAGTATACTCTTTGCTTTATATAGCTATGAAGTACAATGCTTTTGGCAGTAAGCCAAAATGATTTTGTGCAAAATGCCTTTGTCTGCCTTACCCCAAACCTCCTGCAGCCACTAATGGTTTGATGGTTTCTGGAGCCCAAAGGCAAGTAAGGCAAAATAAAATATAAACAATAAAGAATACCTCCAAAGGCTAGCTTCTGGAAAACCACCAAGAACAGAAAGTGCTACGTTTTAGGCTGGAGGGCCATGTGACCTGCATACTCTAGGCTAAACTATTTACCCATTCTGAGGGCTGGGTAGTTAATCATAAGCTCAAGCTCAGGGCTGTGATCTAATATCAAGCAGCAGCTGAACCTCCTGTGGCCAAAGGCAATAATGCTTCATCTACCTAGCATCACTGATATCCTAAGAGAATTTTTCAGATATATGACATGTACCCTAACTAAGTATCAAGTCTTATCTAGGTAACACCTAAATGGCACTTTATAACTTGCCTACAGCAGATGCTGATGACTGGAGATCATCTATGCTCAAGGACTATAAGAATTACAGAGGTATCATTAGTTCTAAAGTTAAGGAGCTCCAGGATGTTTTTGCTTTTTAGGTTCTTTTTTGCTTTGCAGTTTCCTCTCTTGTCCTCCCACTATACTTCTACTACTCACTACTATGATTTGTTCTGCACTCACTAGCTGTTTCTACTCTGATGATATAGGAAACCAGAATAATGAAACTATGTCTAAATTAGGGGCATAATGGTTCTTAGAGCTAAAGGCCTGAGGGGCTATATACACTATAAGACAAATATATGAGCTTTGAGATAACTATTTTGACTGCTGGGAGACATTTTTTGTTTGTTTCCTAGGTCTCAATGGTGTTCTGGATAACTGAGAAAGCCAGGTAAATAAGAGGTTTTGAAATGTGGATCCTATATCCTATCACAAGAAATTAGGATAATGGGCTCTCTCTTGCCAATCCTTCCATTCTCATAGAATACAGTACATTTCAGGACTTCCAAAGAATCCAGAGGGTAAGTAGGCCAAGCAGCCAGTCCTGCATACTTCAAACTCCTGCTTGCAGAGCATTTTGTTCAGCTCAATGCACTGAAAGGTCTGCCTGCAACCTGGGCTAAATATAAAACCTACTGTGCTTTCACGTGGCTGGTGGTCAGAAGGTGGAGAGATGGCTAGGATAGGACAGGCAGTGTCTAGAGACACTGGGTTTTCCCTCCAAGATCATAATTAAATAGAAACCAGAAACCAAAACTTACATGGACTCAATTATTTTCTTTGTAAAGACTTCATCAAATTCTCTCTTCAAACCTGTTTTCATGGTATCAGAAAGGACAAGACTGGGGAGATGGTTAGTATTTCTGTCAGCTTCAACTTCTTCATCTTCGTCAATTATCCTAAATAAAGGCAGCAGAAGCAGACAAAGAAAACTTATTTAGTCAAGCTATTATATATTCTAGTAATTGGACAAAATTTTAAAAATAAAAACGGTAAAAGTAACAGGTACTACACCAAAAGGTCAAGTAAAATATGAGGTTAACTATGAGTGAAAAAATTATATACAGAAGTTATTCAACATTTCATTTAACAAAAATTTTATGAGATGCAATCAAATTTGAAGAATATCTTCAAAAACTCCCATAAGCCAAAAATTAATATTCAGAGATAGTAACTAAAAATATTCTGTACAGTACTATAAGAGCTTATTTTAACAATTAATGTGAACATTTTGAGTTCCCTTATTTTTACAGTCTCTCTCAGAGGTTGAGGATCAAAGTATCATCAAATGATGAATTAGAATAGCTTAAAAGAGTAGAGACCATTACATAGGAACAGCAACAAGCCCACTATATATGCTGCCCATTTACCTGTCCTCAATTTCCTGAAGCCTCCTTCTGGCAACTTCGCACTGTGGTTCTCCAACAGTCTGATCCATTTCTTCACAAATAACATCTAACATGCCAGGTGCAGAAAGGCCACTAGTGCATGGATTTACTCCATGACCCTCTATATCCTGATGTGCACAAAGAATCCAGTCATTAGGACAGGCACAGAGCCCTGCTTCAGTTAGCCTTTTCTTTCTCACTGGGCAACTGGAAAAAAAAAATTTTTTGAATGAAAATCCTGACCCATATAAATTAAACATATTTCATCCCTATCAATAATCAGGTTCTTACATGAAAAACTAATAATTTTTGACAGTGTGTAATTACAACATGGAAAACCACACATTTTCTTTTCTGTCATTCTCACAGCCTTCTTGAGATGTTTCCTTCTACTGCTCTCTCTGCCAAACTAAGTTGTACCTACAGATTTTGCTTTTTCAAGTTAGAAGTGTTCAATGTGGAAACAAAGTCATTCCTATTTATTTGGTTCTGCATAGGTCAAGTGGGAATAAGGAAACCAAAAAATCACAAAGCAGCAATTCAGCCCAGCTGGTGTGGCTCACTGGTTGAGTGTCTACCCATGTACCAAGAGGTCGCCAGTTCAATTTCCGGTCAGGGCACATGCCCAGGTCATGGGTCCAATCCCCAGTGGGGGGCATGCAGGAGGTGGCCAATTGATGTTCTCTCTCCCTCTCCCTTCCTCTCTCTCTCAAATCAGTAAAGAAAAAATATTTTAAAAATTAAAAAAACTTGCCCTGGCCAGTTTGGCTCAGCAGTTAGTGTCAGCCTGCGGACCAATGACTAGCAGGTTTGATTCTGGTCAAGGGCATGTACCTCAGTTGCGATTTGTCCCCGGCCCTGGCTGCGGGAGGCAGCCACTCAATGTGTATCTTTCATGTCAATGTTTCTCTCTCTCTCCCTCCTACTCTATCTGAACAAAAGTGGAAAAATGTCCTCAGGTGAGGGAAAAAAAAAATTAAAAAACAAAAAAACAGCCCTGGCCGGTATGGCTCAGCAGTTGGAGCATCGGCCCGAGGACCAGAGAGTCCCGGGTTCAGTTCCCACTAAGGGCACGTACCTTGGTTGCAGTTTGTCCCTGGCCCTGGTTGGGGTTGTGGGGGTGGCAACCACTCAATGTGTCTCTCTCACATTGATGTTTCTCTCTCTCTCTCTTCTTCCGTCTCTCCCTCCGGCTCTATCCGAAGATAAATGCAAAAATATCCTTGGGTGAGGATTAAAAAAACAAAACAAAAACAAAGCAGCAATTCAGTGCCAGCCATATTTTGTCATTACTGCTGCTGCTCCATCAAACTGATTAAATGGGAAGGTGGTCTGCAGGCATCCTATATGCCCTTATGACAAAAACATATGCTTCATCAGGTCTGTTCCAAGTACTACAGGTGCTGACCATATTGCTGATTTCTTGATCCTCTCCAAAATGTCATACTGTCATTTGGCTATATGAGTTCTTGACTAACGGTGTACACTATTCTCCCACCTTTAAACATTAACTATCTTTACTTCTTAGAAAAGTTTGTATTTCATAGAGACCCTAGAGTTCATTAAATCCAATTTCTTTGTTTTGCAGATTTGGAATCTAAGATCTAGAAAAACTTAAATGACCCCTCCAAAGTGTCATGTAAGATAGAGTTACATGTTGGGCACCAGAGAGCCCCAAGAGCTCCTGAATTCTGCCTCTGTGCCATTTTCACTAAACCACCAGCCTCCCTAAGAAAGTTCAACTGTTCAAACTCTTACCATGAACAGGTATTTGTAAGCACTATGACATGCCCAGTCTAGTCGAAAGCTGTATGAACCAAGTTAAATAGACAACCACAGCCCTGTTCTAGTTAACTATTTAGGCTAAAAGTACTTTGCTGTCTGGGCATCAGCAAGTGCAATCTCAAGACCAGAACACAGCTCTGCAACCAACAAAATTCATTAATAACAACAGCTCTCATCCTCTAAACTGAAGGTCAAAGGAAGCAGCACAGATTTCACAAGAAATTTATATTCCATGTTAAGACTATGAAAATCAACATTAAAGTCTCTGGTGATATAAAATCTAACAAGTAAATAATGCTCTCTTGAACTTAAATTTTTTTTTTTTAATCACCCGAGGATATTTTTCCATTTATCTTCAGACAGAGTGGGAGGTAGGACAGAGAGGGAAAGAGAAACATCGTTGTGAGAGACACACATCGACTGGTTGCCACCCACATGACCCCAACCAGGGCTGGGGATGAACTGCAACTGAGGTACGCGCTCCTAGCGGGAACCAAACCCAGGACTCTCTGGTCCATGGGCGGACGCTCCAATCGCTGAGCCAAATCGGCCAGAGCGAAGGTGGTTAACTTTTAAAGCCAACAGCTTTTACAATTCAAACTTTTTATTTTTAACACTGGAATTCTTTATTCAATATTCTCTCATAGGGAACCCCCAAAGATAAAAGCAAAGAAGTCCTTGTATATCAACAGCAATGCCAAGGCAAAGAACATAAATATTGTCTGAACCAGTGGTTTTTAAACTAAGGCAACATTCAAATCTACTGTCTTATTTGTAGTTTAGAAAATAACAAGTTTCTTCTGGCCAAGTAAATAAGTCATACATAAAGTCAAAAGATAGCTTTGCGCAGTGGCAGTATCATAGCCAATGAGGTTTATCCAGGCGCGATTATTGCTAAAAAAAGAAAGAAAAAAAAGATAAACAACATGCCCTGGCCAGTGTGGCTCAGTTGGTTGGGCATCGTCCTGTGCATTGAAGAGTTGCTGGTTGGATTCCTGGTCAGAGCACATGCCTGGGGTGTGAGCTCGAACCCCAATAGGGGGCGTGCAGGAGGCTGTTGATCAATGTTCTGCTCTCACATTGCTGTTTCTCTTTCTCTCTCTAAAAAAAAATCAATAAAATATATATTTTAAAAGATAAATGACAAATTTGGGAAAAATATTTATAACACACCTAATAACCTGATTTCTTTAACAAATATTTCTTATTGATAAATAAGAAAAAGACCAATAGCCTAATAAAAAATTTGCAGAAACATCAATTCACACAAAGTTAAACACATGGCTTAAATAAAAAAATTTTCAACATCACTTATAATTTACAAAATGCAAATTAAAACAGTGATCTAATTTCTTTTTAACTACAACATCCTATGCTTATAAAACTACAAACACAATTTAATGAACAATTGCACAACATTCATGAAAATAACATTCAAGACATCCTAAAATGGTACTCTGTTCCCTCTTCCCTACAAGTAAACACTGTCTTTTATAGTGATTACTTCCCTTTTTTGTTGTTGTTAATCCTCACTTGAGGATATATTTTCCATTGATTTTTAGAGAGAGAGGGAGGAAGAGATAGAAATACTGATGTGAGAAGAGACACATCGCTTGGTTGCTTTCTACTTGGCTCCTGACCAGGGCCTGGGATTGAACCTGAAACCCAGGTATGTGCCATTGACCAGGAAACAAACCCCAACCCTTTGGTCTATAAGCCGATTCTCCAACTACAGGGCAGGGCTAATGACTTCCTTTTTAAAAAATATTAGCCCTGACCAGTTTGGCTCAGCGGTTAGAGCATCGGCCTATGGTCCAGAGAGACCCGGGTTTGGTTCCCGCTAAGGGCACGTACCTCGGTTGCAGTTTGTCCCCGGCTCTGGTTGGTTGTGTGGGTGGCGGCCACTCGATGTGTCCCTTTCACGTCGATGTTTCTCTCTCTCCATCTCTCCCTCCCACTCTATCTGCACAAAATATCGAAAAATGTCCTTGAGTGAGGATAAAAAAATATATATATATTAATGCATCCCTAAATAATGTTTAATTTTGCCTGGTTTTGAACCTTATATTTAGGGAATTATACTGTATAAATTCTTGTGATATTTATTTGCTCATATTACGCTTGTAAGACGCATCCCTGTTGATAGGTGTGTTTTTTTGTTTTGTTTTTTTGAATAGAACTCCATTGTATAAATTTGTGATTTACTTTATCCATTTCACCATTGAGGGATATTTGGATTGTTTCCATTTTTGAGCTAGTATAAGCAAGGATGCTATGAACTTTCTTTTTTTTTTTAATCCTCACCCGAGGACACTTTTACATTTTTTGTTCAGATAGAGCGGGAGGGAGAGAGGAAGAGACAGAGAGAGAGAAACATTGATGTGAAAAGGACACATCGAGTGGCTGCCACCCGCACGACCAACCAGGGCCGGGGACAAACTGCAACCGAGGTACATGCCCTTAGCGGGAACTGAACCCGGGTCTCTCTGTACCGCAGGCTGACGCTCCAACCGCTGAGCCAAACCGACCAGGGCTGAACTTTCTTTTATGCGTTTCCTGATGTGCACATGTACACACTCAGGAGGGGAAATGGTGGGTTAAAAGGTACATGTGCCTTCAATGTATTAGATAATGCCAACCTGTTTCCCAAAATGCTGTACCAATTTACACTGAGTAAACTGTAGTTTTGAGTGTTCCTGGTGCTCCATAACCACTCCTCCTATATCATTATGGCTTTAATATACACTTCCCTAAAGACTGATGAGGTCAAACATCTTTTCATTTGACTGGACATCTGGATATCCTCTTTGGAGAATTTCTTCATTCCAATTCCCCATCTAGGAAATCCATTCACCTACTTGCAAATATCTACAAAGAACTTAAAAAGAATGGCCATGGTAGATTTGTTAGTAATAGCAAAAGATTAAAAATAACTTAAAAATTGCCCTGGCCGGTTTGGCTCAGTGGTTAGAGAGTCGCCCTGCGGTCCAGAGAGACCCGGGTTCAGTTCGCGCTAAGGGCATGTTCCTCGGTTGCAGTTTGTCCCCGGCCCTGGTTGGTTGTGCAGGTGGCAGCCACTCGATGTGTCCCTCTCACATCGATATTTCTCTCTCTCTCTCCCTCCCTCCCTTCTATGCTATCTGAACAAAAATGGGAAAATGTCCTCGGGTGAGGATAACAAAAAATAATAATAACTTAAAAATCCATCAACAGGAGACTTGTACCTAGTCTTACAACAGGATTCTATTCAACTGTTGGAAAAGAAATTAGGTAGAATTCTATGTACCTATATGCAACAAGCTACAGGAGAGTAAAATGAAAAGATTAATGTGTTGCACAATGTGAACAATATCTTCTTACAAATGAAGGTAGATACAATTATAAGCTTGCAAGTTTTAAAATTATCTTTCAGGGGACATATAGGAAACAGATAACATGGGATGCCTCTGGAGAGAACTGTGAGCATGGAAGGTAAGACTTTTCAATATGTATGCTTTTACACACTTGGAATTCTTTTACTTTGTGCATATAATAATATTCACTTGGCTCAAAATCCAAACTTTACAATCCGTGACAGACTGAAAAGTTTCCAGCCTCTGCCAGCCACCCACCCACCCAGTTACTTTCTCTAAAAAGCAACCAATGTTATCAGCTCCTGTGCTTCCTTTCACCTTTTCACTTAAAACAAGTAATTGGGGATACAAAATAGAATAAATTAAATGACAATTAAGCAAATACATGGCACCTGAAACTTACTCATCATCTTCCTGCTCTAGCTTGTGTTTCTTTTTGCAGGGAACTGAAACACTGTTGAAACAAACAAACAAAAAAGCAATCAGTCTACCGAGAAATGAATTGAGCTTGCGCCTTCAGCATCCCTTTCTTGCTCCAATAAGCTTCCTATCCCACAGGTACCAGGCTGTCCCCTTCCTTGCCCAGCGGGAGGGATATACAGGTCACAAGGCAATGCTGGGAGGTCCTGGCCTAACCAGCGATTGAAATCTACACTTTTCATTCTGTAACAGTAATGGGAGATACGTTTGGGGAAATGGACTCGCGGCAGGCACCGTGACAGCACTTTACTTCCAAGAGCTCACTAGAGGACCCATTTCTGTCCCACTTTGCAGATGAAGGAGCTGCCCGTCCGAGGCACTGACAGGTCCCATCAGCGGCCGCGCCGTGTCTGCAAGAGGAGCAAGCCGTGTGCTCGCACCCAGGCTCCAGTCGGCCGGGTTCCAACCCCAGCCCGACCTGGGACAGCTGCGCAAAGTCCCAACGGGACTTCCAATGTGACCTCTGGCGACTTATGGTTACGGTCTCCGGAGATCGGTTTCCTCATCTGTAAACTGGGGCTGGAGAGCCTCCCGCGCAGGGTCCCGAGGAGGGGGCCCCCGGCCCGCCCGCCCCGCGCTCGCCGGGCTCCTCACCGTTCGCGCGCCGGGCTCCCGCTGGGGCTGTTCGGAGAAACGCGGGGTTCCGGTCGCGGGGCCAGCTCGGCACCGTCCGTCCCCGGCGGGAAGGCCCGGCCGGAGATGGCCGGCGGCGGCTGCAGGAAATCTGAGCCGCCGCTCAGGGGGAGGCCGCTGAAGGGCCGACCAAGTGCGGCCATGGCCGGGGAGACGAGGACACTGCGCCCGCGTCCCCGGCCGCCCGCGTCCCCAGGCCCGGCAGCTGCAGCCACAGCGACTGTCGAGAGGTGCCCGCCTCTGAGCCCGCTCTTGACCTCACGTCACGCCTTCTAGAACCCTCCACCCCGGGCCGCCCAGGGGCATGCCGGGATTTGTTGTGTGTGGCGAGTGTTTGCCGCAAGGAATACCGGGAGTTGCAGTCCTTGCGGACTACAGACAAGATGGCTGCCTTGGTTTAGCCGGCAAAAGTTTAAGGATGGTTCTGTCCAGCTTTGAATATGACCTAGGTTGGAATCCTCACTCCACAAGGTTTGTGATCGCTGTTCTTCAGTTTTCTCAGTAGTAAAACCTGATAATAATAGTACCTGTCTTCGTAGGGTTGATGGGAGAAGAAAATTAAACACGTAGGACCCTTAGAACACTTCTGGGCACATGGTTCAGATTCATTAAATATCAGCCATTAATTCCTTCTATGTTTTAATAAAGTTGGTGATGCTTTAGGGAGAACAGCAGGGAGGGTCAGTAAAGACCTTAGAACACTTGTGAAAAACCTTCCAGCTTCTGCCTGTATCATCCAGAGACATAAGCTTGCCAGAGGGGCTAGCAGAGTTGGTTAACCCCAACCACTAATTATGCCTTATTTTTCCCATCTCAGGGAATGACACCATCATCCAGTATGAGTTACTTGTGCCAGCGTCAATGCCCATCAGCCAAAGAGACCACCAAGAACATATCTATAATTGAACAAAGATGTGTTTATTGACTCCTTCCAGTGAGGGAGTCTCTCAGTAAGGGGAGCTTTTTATAGGATTTGGGCTGTCTTTGGTGATTTGGGGGAAGGTTCAAGGAAGCAGAGCTTTGCTCTGAAATTAATATTGTCAGGAAACAGGGATGATTCTGTTATTGGGTATCTTAGTCAATCTTTCTAGAAGGTGGAAGGAATGAAAGTAGGCTAAACCTATAATTGATAAGGAAGCAACAGTCCTTCATATTGGCCAGGATAGGGGGATATTTGGTCATTTTGTGGTTTAGACAACATTCACATTTTTGCGTGTATTCAGACATGATTATGAAGTACTCTTTTTTTTTTTTTTCTTTTGGTTCACGCCCCTAGCAGGAACTGAACCCGGGGATCTCCTGTCCGCAGGCCAATGCTCCAACCGCTGAGCCAAACCGGCCAGGGCCCAAGTACTCTTGTTTTTATCTTGATCCATCAAAGTCACATCTCAGTCCTTGCTTAAGGTTGACATTCTGTGAAATTGTTTAACAGGAAGACACCAAGTCCTACCTGGTAGTACCAGGCCAGTATCAGCTGTCAGAGATGCTTTTCTCTTTTAATCAAAAATCTAAGCATCATTGATGCCTCTTTTGTTTTCACCCTGTATTTAATCAGTTAGCAAGTTCTATGGGCTTTACTTGTGAAACGCTTCCAGATTATTTTTCTCTATTTCCATTGCCCTCATAATGGTCTAAGAAAAAAAAAAAAAAAAAAGAATGAACCCCTTTTGCCTAATGTAATATAATGGATTAGGTTTAAAATTTCTTAGTGACATTTACAGTCCAGTTTTGCTTCCCAAAGGTAACATCCTACTTATCTCAACTGGATTTAAAAGATAGTCTCCTACTAATCATCAGAGAGATGCATATTAAGATAACTGAGAGGTATCATCTCACACCTACCAGAATGGTGCCATCAACAAATCATCAAATAACAAGTGCTGATGAGGATGTGGAAAAAGGGGGACTCTACCACACTGCTGGGGGGAATGCAGACTGGTGCAGTCACTATGGAAAATAATATGGTGTTTCCTCAAAAAATTAAAAATTGAACTGCCATTTGACCTTGTGATCCCACTTCTTGGATTATATCCTAAGAAGCCTTAAACACCAACTAGAGAGAATATATGCACCCCTATGTTTATATCAGTGCTATCTACAATAGCTAATATCTGGAAACAGCCCAAGTGTTCATCAGTAGATGAGTGGATTAAAAAAACTGTGGTACATGTACACAATGGAATACTATGCAGCTGTAAGAAAGAAAGATCTCTTACCCTTTGAGATGACATGGAGGGATCTGGAGAATATTATGCTAAGCAAAATAAGCCAGTCAGTAAAAGACAAATGTCACATGATCTCACTTATTTGTGGAATATAATGAACAAAATAAGCTGATGAACAAAATAGATCCAGAGACATGGAGTTAGGGAACAGTCTAACAAACCTCAGAGGGAAAGGGGGTTGGGGGATAGGAAGAGGTAAACTAAAGAACTTACATACATATATGCATAACCATTGGACACAGACAACAGTAAGATGAAGGGGTGGGTAGGGAGAGGAGCAGGGAGGAGGGTGTCAATGGGAAAAAAAGGAGGGAAATCTGTAATTTTAAAAATTAATAAAATAAATAAATGAAATAAAAGACAGCCTCCTGGGTCATTTCTACAAATGGCCACTTCATTCCTCACTTTAAAAAAATATTCTGCTAGCCCGGCCAGTGTAGCTCAGTGGTTGAGCGTCGACCCATGCACCGAGAGGTCACTGGTTCGATTCCCGGTTAGGCCATATGCCCAAGTTGTGGGCTAGATCCCCAGTGAGGGGCATGCAGGAGGCTGCCAATCAATGTTCTCTTTTATCGATGTTTCTATCTCTTTCTTTCTCTCCCATCCTCTCTCTCTAAAAATCAATAAAGAAAAAAAATTTTTAAAAATCCTGCTAGATTATGTTATATACACATAAATATAAATATGTATTTATAAAAGGAGTCCTACTCTATATATTATTCTGAAACTTTTTTTCTATATTTCTTGAATGCCTATCCAGATTCATTCTTTCATTCACAATTTCTTTTTTTTTATGTTTTTACTGATTTTTTTGAGAGAGAGAAACATCAATGTAAGATCAAATCACCAAAACCCAGCAAATTGACAAACTTTCAGTGTGTGGGATGACACCCAACCAACTGAGCTACACTAGCTAGGGCTAGGTACTTCCTGTTTGTAGATGCTCTTTACTCAGAATCAGTCAAGTATTTCTCACAGTAACTCTAAATCAGATGCTTTTATTATTCCCATTTTACAGATTAGGAAATTGAGGCAAGTGATGGTTCCTAACTCTCTCAGCTGTAAGTAAAAGAGTTCAACCCCAGGTCTGAGACTTTAAATCCTGCCCTAGACTTCCTAGGCTTTGCTTCATCTCACTGAATTTCCTGGAAGAAAGTGCTTTGTAGGAGTCAGGGAAAGTCCCACTACAGCATGGGAGAGAGACTGCTTGGGGCTTCAGAACCCTGGAAGCAAAAGATAGGATTATTGTGCATTGTCTCCTACACTAGCCTTGGGACAGTGGTGCAGAACTTAAGTGGCCAATGAGAGAACCTCTTCTTAGTGACAGTACAGGCCTGCCTCTTTGAGATGACTTCTAGTTCATCTCTTAGGTGACTGGGGTCAGAGATATACAGATTCTTAGAGAATCCCTTCCAGACTTCTTTCTCCTGGTGGCTAACCTTATCTATTAGTTTTTTAAAAACAACAGCATTTTCTGATTATAAAACTGACATAGGTTCTTAGTAGAAAATTATTAGAGATGGTGATAAATGTATAGAGAAGCAAATAAAAATCGCCTTAATACCATCTTTCAGGAAGCTCCATTGTTATGAATATTCTTCTAGTCTTTGTTCTCATTTGTGTGTGCTAGCGTATAATGCACACATAAGAACTCTGCCGTTTCTCACTTTACTCTCACAACTGGACCACAGGTAGTCATATGTATCTACAGAAGGACGATAAAACTAAGGCTTACAGAGATTAAGTAATTTGTCTACATAATTAATAGTCATTAGTTAATAGAGGTTAGCAAGAAACAACCTTGTCAGGATGTTAATATAAATTATTAAAGGCTTCATCTCCTTTGGTAGAAAAGACACTAAACCAAATTATTGATGGCAAATACCTGTGAGGGATGGGGTTATCAGAACTTTTATTTCCTGGGCATAAATTTTAAGCTTTTATTCTTTTCCAATGAATATATACTACTTTGTAGTCAGATAAAAGATTTTTTTTAAACATTTTTTTTTCTTTATTCATTTTAGAGAGAGAGGAAGGGAGCTGGAGAGAGAGATAGAAACATTGACAAGAGAGAACATCAACTGGCCGCCTCCTGCATGCCCCCCAGTGGAGATTTGGCCCACAATCTGGGCATGTGCCCTGACCAGGAATCAAACCAGTGACCTCTTGGTGCCTGGGTCGATGCTCAGCCACTGAGCCACACCGGCCAGGCTAAAGATAAATATTTTTTAAAATATATTTTGATTGATTTAAGGGAAAGAGAGGAAGAGAGAGGGAGAGAAACATCTATCAGCTGCCTCCTCCATGTCTCCTACTGGGGATTGGGCCAGCAACCCTGGACATGTGCCTTGATCAGGAATGGAACCAGCGACCTCTCAGTGCATGGGTGGATGCTCAACCAACTGAGCCACACTGGCCAGGGCAGGATAAATACTTTTTAAATAAATATGTTCAATGTGACAAGGCACAATGGACTGAATGCCCCCCCCCCCCATTCCTATGTAAAAATCCTAACCCCCCAAATAGGGCCTCTAGGTGGAGCCCTCATGAATGAGCTTAATGTCCTCATAAAAGAGACCCCAAAGAACTCTCTTGCCTCTTTCACCATATGGTGACACAGTAAAAAGATGGCCATCTATGAACTAGGAATGGGCTATCACCTGAAACTGCTGGTGCCTTGATCTCAAACTTCCCAGCCTCCAAAACTGTGAGAAATAAATTTCTGTTGTTCATACCACTCAGACTATGGTATTTGTTATAGAACCCCAATGGATTAAGACATGAAGTTAAAAGCAAGAGGCCAAAAGAAGAGCAGAGCCCCTGCCAAAATGCCTGACATTCTGTTCTGAGGAGCAGCCAGTGGTGCAGTGGAGCGGGCCACAGACCGCTTCTACTTGAGACAGACTTCATAACAGCACATACCAGAGGCAGAAGTCCAAATCAAATGTAGGACATCCTCATTGAGCAACCAAGAGTGTCAGCTGAACCTGAGGCCATCTCAGCAGCAGTCAGTACCTGTCATGGATTTCCAGGCACAACTGAGGCAGGCATCCTTG